CACTTTTTTCTTACAAAAAAGTCAAAAAATCTTCTCCAAACTAAGGGCTGGTTTGGCTTATCCTAAATAAGCCAAAAAGTCAAAAAGTTACTCCAAAATTCAAAAAGATATCACTATTCACAAAAAAAAAAAATTAATAATAATTATTTTCTGCCCAAAGTACACACCGAATTGACCAAAAATCGGCTGCTGTGCAGCGGCAGTGCACATATATGAAATGATTGGGTGTGATTTGCACACACACCGCTGTTTGGCCTGCGGGGGCTATCACGGGTCCCGTTTTGATAATCTGAACCGTTAAATGTGTAGAACTCGTCGAGTACTATATGTCTGCAAAAAATCACATTGATCAGATATCGATAACTATATGATCAGATCAGTTATGTACGACAAATGGATGGTATTATAATTAATGATTGAAAAATAAATATATCTGATCAGATAGCTATCGATATCCTATTAACGTGATTTTTTATAGGTACATAGTGTTCGACGAGTTATACACATTCAACGGTTCAGATTATTAAAATGGGACCCGTGATAACCCCCACAGACCAAACAAAACCGTGCAGTGCTTTGTACAAAAAATAGCCAATAATTTCCAACTCCCATTCACACCTTCCGATTTGTACGACTGGGGCCCACCTGTCACTATTCATCTCTTACACACTCTTTTTATACAATTTTTTAATACACATTTTTTTATAAAAATCTAAAAAGTTAACCCAAACCTCCATATTTTTTTCTCAACTTTTTTAGTCCAAAAAGACAAAAAGTGCACTTTTTTAAGACATCCCAAACCAGTCCTAAATTTTTTTACCCAAATTAAAAAAATTTAAAAAATTAAAAAACCAACTCAGTTCCGGAACGACAGCTTAGTTGAGAGAGTAGGAAACCATGATAATAGCTGGTGGGGGGCTCTCACGGTGGTTTGGCATTATTGCATGATGGGGCCATATTGCCAAATTGCATCATATGTTTCTTCATGTGAGTAATGAGTAAGTCATTTGATGACACCATCACAAATGACTGCATGGATTTATTATGCACTAGGGTTAGGCCTGGTTTGTCAATTGTTTGTTTTAGTTTAAAAATTAAAAAACTATTAAAAAAATTAAAAAATTTATAATTTATTTTAAAAAGTTAAAAATTTACTTTTTTTATTTTTTGTAATATTTTCATAAAAAATTAAAAAATCATTCCAAACATACTGGGTATGTTTGGTTTGATTTTGAGAGAGTTGTTTTTAAAAATTGTTTTGGGAAGAGAATTTATAAATTTTTTTAGTTTATTTGGTTGTATATTTTAAAAGTTGTTTTAGTGTTTAGAATGATTTGATATTTTGTTGTAATTGAGTAGATGTGTATGAGAGAAAATGCGATTGAGAATGAGAAGGGAGAGAAAAAAAGTGATTGATTGATTGATTGATGTGTAAGAGAGAGAAAGCGATTTTGAAAATTATTTTGAAAAAATTACAAATCAAACAAGTTTTTTAAAATTTTTTTCTCAAAATCACTCTACAAAATCAAACCAAACATACCGACTAATTTTTTTATTTCATATTTTAATTAAAAAATTTAAAAATTATTAAAATAACGGGTTCGTTTGGTTTGTATTTCTAAAAAAAATTTGAGAAATTTTCTCTACAAATAAGTTTTTAAAAATAATCAAACCAAACAAATTTTCTCAAAAAAATTTCTCAAAACTTGTAAACCAAACAAGTTTTCCAAACAAATCTCTCTCTCACACACATCAAATCAATTACTTTTTTCAAAACTCTCTCTCAAAATAATTTTCCAAAACATCTTTGAAAAAAATCAAACCAAACAACTTTTCATACTTTTTATCTCTAAAACACATCTCTCAAACACAAACCAAACATACCCAACATGTTTCGAGACATGATCTTAGTCACTATTACCTTTGAAACACAAACAAAACATTGAACATGTAATAATTATAATAATAATAATAATATGTACTATGGTGTACGCATTAGGTACAATAATACAGAATGGAAATGATAATTCCAACCAAAATGTTGGTGCCATTTTTTTCTTCTTTTGTTTGGATATATAATGACTACTCCTTAAAGAAAGAAAAAAAAGGCCCAAATTTAGTTTTATTTTTTAACTATTTTTTAAAAATATAACTTAATTTGACAAAATCAAATATGAAAAAAATATTCTAAAATTTTAAAAATTGTTTTTTTCCTTTAAAAAAATAAAATTATATAAAAATAATAAACATTTTTAATTTATTTTATTTTTTTACCGAGCTAATTTTTACTTTTTAAAAAAATTATGAAACAATTTTTTAAAAATAAAACCATTGACCAAAACGTTTTAGAATGATATGAAAAAGAAATGCATAGCATCCATACAAAAACTAGTGCAAAACTTCAAAAAAGGTCTTTATTGGCAACAATTTGGATTGATTGTTTGGTTCAACGAACACCACTTTGTGCTAGTCAGACCATCTTCAACGTTACATTAGATTCAATATCAAATTTGAACTGGATAAAAAACGTCACTTTTTTACTCTAATAGTTTCACCAAATTAATATCAAACTGAGAACGGAGCAAATTTTTTACCAAACTGAGAATCTGCGTGAACCATCACCAATTCACTGTGCTGTAACGTTGCAAGTGGGCCACCAATCGACCAACCGGTCGACCGGAAAAAGGTTCAAACAGTTCAAATAAATAGGTTTAAACAAGTTCAAAAAGAAAAAAAAAATTTTTGTTGCCTTACCGGTTGACCCCGCTGGTCGACCCCTGCCTTTGATGACAACCATTGGAGCAGCTAATATCAAATTGAGAAAATGATCATTTTTTTACTCAAATTTGATGGAAAAAAAAGTGAATAATTGGAGATACTCTTACGATGGCTATTCTGCTTATAATTTGATATAAATAAGTTTTTTTTAGATGGGATACTAAAGAATTTAATAATATAATTTTTATATGTAAAAACTCAATAACATAATAAATTATTTAAGCCTGATTTGTCATCTCTTAAAAAAGTCAAAAAGTCAAAAAATTACTATTATATTTAAATCAAATCATCTTATTTAAGTCACATCACCTCTCTATCACATCACTTTAAACCCAATTTATACTCAACCCATATTTCATAAAAAATCAAAAATTACACTTATTCAAAATATTCTAAACAACCCCTCAGCACTCCTTATGCAAGCATGTGGTGATTTTATTGCTCTACATAATAGGATTCATCATTTTTATGTTAATTTTTGTTCTTAAAACAATACGATGAATGTCATAATGTGAATGATACAAAGGGTTGGTTTGGCATGAATTATATAATTCATCTTTTTATATTTTTATCTTTTTTTTATCACATCACCTCTCTATTTTTTTACATATCTTTTCGTAAAAAGACAAAAAATATACTTTTTTAAGACACCCCAAACCAACCTAAAGTGCCACTCCAATACTATCTGAATGATACAAAGTGCTACTCCAATACTATCAAATAACTTAAAGAATGTTTGACATGTGCTAAATTAATATATATATATATATATATTGTTTTAGTTTTTACAAAAAAAAATATAAAATATAGATTGAGTTTAAAATGATATGGTACAGAGATACTGTGACTTAAATGATATGATTGTGACCAAAATAAAATAATGTGCTTAAATAATATGTGCTATTTTAGCACATGCCAAACAGTGCCTTACACCACAATGACAATTTTTAAAGGATAAATAAATAAAAAAATTTATATATGATTTATTTACATAGGTAGTGATTTCTCTCCAGTTTAGAATCGGATTGGAGAGTATTGTTACACCTCTATGAGTTCATCATAGAACGCATATCGATAATCGAAATCGTTAATACATGGTGCTCGGCAATACTTCACTACTTTAAAAGAATCACGTTGATTTGATATTAATAGTCACTTGATCAGATTAATTTTTTGTCAACAGTAAGTATAATTTAAAAAAAAAATATCTAAACAATTGTGATATGATCAAATAACTATTAATATCCGATTAACGTAATTTTTTTTAAAAAATAAATAAAATACTCAATAAATCTTATACATTCAACAATTTAAATAATTAAAATAAACCCTAATAGGGTCCGTTTGGGAAGATGGTTTGTGGCTAAAATAAACACAAAAGACAAAATAGGTTATTTTAGTCACAACAAACAAAGACCCTGTTTGGTAGAGCTGTGGGAAAATGCTTATAGTTTATGCCACAACAGCTTATAACTTATAACTTTCAGCTTAAGCTGATTTCCAGCTTATTCTTAAAGCATCTCCTGCCCCACTCAAAGAATAAGCTGATTTCTGACTTCCAAAAAGTTATAAGCTATAAGCAAAACTAAACACATCAAAATAGCTTAAATTAAGCTGAAAGCAGAAATAAGCTGTAATTAAGCTCTGCCAAACAGGCACAAAACATCACATTCAACCTATAATCATTACACTCAACAAACAAAAAAGTAAAAAAAGCCAAAAAATTAAAAAACTCTTCCTAAACTAAACTTTTTAACCCAAACTAAAATAATCAAAAAAAAATTAAAAAGTTAAAAACCCAATTTACTTCCCAAACTAACTCATAAACTTACAAATTATACCGTCCAATTAGCTAGTTCACCCAACTGGATACGGTCCATTATGAGGTAGGGCTATTTTAAAAAATGATTATAATTAATTTTTTGATGAAAAATTATTTATAAATCATTTTTTTCTGAGAAAAAAAATAAATTATAATCTAAAATAACTCACCTCTCAAAACACGCCGAGTCTTTTGTGATCTGCATTTCAAATTTTTATCTTTAAAAATATAAAACACAAATCATGGCCTACCCTAGGTTACATGCGAGTTGGGACATGTGTCACCACCAGAGTTAACAGCAGTAGCTTTACGAACCTCAACGCGTGGAGAGTTTGAGTACAGTTAGTACAGTTCACGCGTTTTGTAGATCAAAAGTATGCACCAAAACCGCGTAACTTCTTCAATGATGAAAACGCCTTTCTACTAACCCGCAAAAATCCATACTCTTCTCTTTCATTCTTCTCTTGTCTATTATAGTCTATTTGTACCTTTCTTTTGTTGATTATAAAAAAATAATAATAATAAATCCTATTTTCTCTCTCTCCCCTTAGTTTTTCTCTCTTCCACTCAAACTAGTAGAAGAAGAAGAAGAAGATGATGTTGATAGCCATAACATTGCTATCTCTTCTCTTCATAGTTGGCCTTTCACTCACTGTATTCAAATTCCAAACCAACAAGTTGATAGAATGGATTCAATCCTTTTTAGCGGAAAGATTTTCACAACACGTTCGCAACAAGCCAGCCGCGGCGGCCGACAAAAAGCCGAAGAGGAGTGCCGGCTCCGCCGTCCATAACAAGGCGGAGCTGAGGAGCGTCTTCGCCACGTTCGACAAGAACAACGACGGCTTCATAACGAAGAAAGAGCTCTCAGAATCGCTCAATAACATTGGAATACACATGACGTTGCAAGAAGTGGAAGAGATGGTTGAGAAGGTGGATTCTAATGGTGATGGGTTGATTGATCTTGATGAGTTTTGCGAGTTGTTCGAGTCGGTGGTGGGGCTTGATGGGGTGGTTGGTGGCGGTGGAGAGGAGGAGGAGGAGGAGGAGGAGGAGGGTGGTAGTGGTGGGGGGAGTGACTTGAAGGAGGCTTTTGATGTGTTTGATGGGGATAGAGATGGGTTGATAACAGTGGAGGAGTTGGGAATGGTGTTGTCTTCTTTGGGATTGAAGGAAGGGCAGAGGTTGGAGAGTTGCAAGGAGATGATAAGGAAAGTTGACATGGATGGAGATGGGAAGGTTAATTTTGATGAGTTTAAGAAGATGATGAAATCTTCTGAAAGGCTTATTCCAGTTTCCTAACTCTCTCTCTCTCTCTACTCCAATTCTAGTAAGCCATCTATCTCTCTCTCCAAATTCTAGTAGATGAATTCAGGATTATCACTATGTTGTGCGAAAGTAAGTTTGAAATACATGTTTATAATTTTTAATTATTTTTAATTTATTATTATAATATATAATATTTTTAAAATTTCTAAGAATCAGTACTTGGATCCATCTTTGCTCTACTCAAACATACAAAATTTTCACAGAATCAATTACAAAAATGAGGCTCACATATGTCAGCTTACATATAAGCCCACAACCATGGATGGGAGTTAAATATGGGTCTCACATGTAGATTCCATTCTTTATTTCACATCTTTGATTGATTTTGTAAAAATTTTGTATTTCTTGTACTTTTGATTTTCATACAGAAAAAAGTTACCTATCCAAAAAATGTATCCAAAATTTCACCTAAAAAAGTAATGTATTATTTGAATTCAACTGTTGTATGTCTAAAAGAATTTCGACTACACAATTACTTTGTATCTTTCTTGAGTGTTTTGGGTGTTTAGTATTCCTGATTCTAATTAACCCATCTCTCTCTTTAGATTGTGCATATAAATGGTGGAAATCCTTATCACAATGTCTTTAATTTTTCTTTCCAAATAGCCTCAATCAGTTTCTTGATGGTCATCAATGCCAGTTTTTTGTAATGTTGTTGGAAGATGGTGAGTAGATTTTGGTGAAGCACATGGAATAGTGGTGCAAATAGACGAAATAAATTGTTTCTTTCCCTTCAATGTCACATGGAGAAGTCTTGGCGATTTGTCAAACTCTAGGTCTTTCTTTACGAGGTCTTTTGTTTTGTTTTGTTCTTTTATAGGGATAAGTTTTCTATTACCATGTCTAGTAATAGACAAAAGTGTATACTGGTTTGTTGCTTGTAATTTTAGATTTCAACTGGGATGTCTATGCCAAGTATGTATAAAGAACACAGTTTGTAAAACTTGTTGTGGCGTGTATGTATATATCAAAAATGTTTAAGCGCACAAAAAGTAAGACTTTAAGAGCATCTCCAATGGTAATAGGCATTTTATCTATCTAAATATTTCTATAAAGTATATATTTTATTTTGCCTATCAACTGTTTTATGTTTTTACTCCAACCATGCTCTTTATTTTAGCTATTTATCCAAATACTATTAATTTTATAGAATGACACGTCAACAACAAAGATGGAGAGAAATGATCCTAATGATTGAATACATTTTGCCTAACGTTGAAGGCTAGCTACATGTAGCTAGTGAATATGAATTGAGCAAAAATGCCTAATCATATGCCTAGTGCATTGGAATTGAAAAAAGTGAATCACACTAGGCATTTTAACTAACAAGTATTATATGCCTAGTGCATTGGAGATGCTCTAATAGAGTTCTATTTATTTGGCAGCGGGCCTCGCTAAGGAATGATTTATGTATGTGTTCATTTGTTTGTTTGTTTATTTTTTGCATCATGTCACATTATTATGTCACATTATTAGAGTTATTTTTAAAATTTCAAAATTAGAATTATGAATCATTGCTCATATATATACATACAAATTCAAAATTTTTTGTCAAAATTTCTAGTACAAAAGATAATGGGAAATTTCCAAATTAATCAGAGAAACTGAAAATAAAATATGCATTTGATGAGTTCTATTTTTATTTTTATTTTTCATGTAACATTATATGTGTATTTGGCATCTCGTAAATAAGTGCATTTATTTGAGTTATATCACATCTTTACTTTTTTGCACATCTTTTTATAAAAAATTAAAAATAAATTTTAATAAATAGATTATTTAATAAAAATAAATTAAATTTACATAATTTTGTATTTGATATAATCTCATTTGATAGATCTTGATTAGCAAATTTTAAAAATGTAAATTTTATTAAAAAATATAAAAAATATAATAGACACTTGAACAATGAGCTTGGACAATGATTTATATAATAGTTTAACTAGAAAATTATATTTTTACCTAATTTTACATTCAATATTAACCTTAATTAATACATATTAATGAGCAGATTATTTAAAATATGGGCATGTTTTCATAAATCCTACTTCTACTACTTATGTTTCAATTAGTCCAAATTAATTTTTTATATTCCAATTAGTTCCATAAGTTACAAAGTTACAGAACTAACCGTATGCTACAACCTAAAGAGGTATTACAACATATTAGAGTTTTAGAGATCAAGTTTTTTTTAGTCTTTAAAAGTAAAATTTTTTGAAAAAGTCAAAAAATGAGCTTTTAGTGACAATTTTGAAATATTACTAATAAATGTACTTTTGGGGACAAAATAATTTTGTTCCAAAAGGATTTATCTTTTGAAAAAACAAAAAAATTTGGTCCTAAATGTTAGTAATTCATCACTAAATGCCTAATTTTGTCACTAAAACTAAAATACTAATAGTTTGGGCGACAAAAATATTTTGTAAAGGTGAAATTATTTCCACAGAAAAAAGCAAGATGACGTGTTCTATGCGTGACTTGTGCAAGAAAAACCAAAAGTTAGTGATCACTTTCGACTTTGGGAGGTCGATGGGACCCTTTGACAATCAAGTCAGTGGGTTATTTTGGGAAGTGGGTTTTAACCCACTTCTCTCTCTCACAAAAAAGTAAAAAAAAAAAAGCTAAAAAGTAACTTTTACTATCTTCCCAAAACACTCCAGTATATTGATTGACCATTATGAGAAATAGGTGTTGACTGTATTTAACAGGTTTTTTAGGTTACCTTGGTCTGTCCTGGGTGCTTGACATGATTCTCCTTTTATAGTTTTTTAGTTTCAATCTTGATCATCCATTCTTTCTTTGATCTGAGAGTTTTGTCTCGTCACAGGCAAATTGAGCTAATTGCCCACTTGCTTGCATTACTAACCATCATATCCAACTCTGTTGGACGGTTGTGATGCTGTCAAATTGTTGGAAAAATGGTTTGCGAAACCATGAATTTTGGCCAACTTTGAGCCTAAATTGAGATGGGCTCCGGACATTGATTGAGGTATGTTCGGGTGGAAGTGCGTTCCTTGCCAGGTGGTGATTCATTTTGTATATTTGATTGGTCAAATCATTTTCTGAGTGAATGCGAAATTGACTCTGAAGAAAGTTTTGGCTACATTTGAATTCGTCTTTGGTTTCGTCGAGAAACTCCGAAGTGTTCTAATAGAAATTCAATTTCAATTGTGATTTGGTTTTTCCTCATTCTAGGAGCATCTATCAAATTCTTGATAGAAGTTCATACGGTGAATGTTGGTTTTACAGCCAAATTTGGAATAGTTTGTTCACCGTGTTTCCGCCATATTCTCAAAGGTGGATCACCGAAATTCAAACATATTTGAGACTGTTCACACCACCATCTCAAGTCTATAAATACCTCACTCTTCTTAAGTTGTTGTAGGGAAGAAATTGGTATCTGATGATACAGTTACGATACAACGGGTTCCAGAGGGAATGGGTTGGACTGGTCCACGCTTCTCTAACCGATATCTGAATGGTCAAGCCCACCTGAGAACCTGCACAGGAGTTCAACGGGGAACAGGGAGTCCCCAAGCGAACCCTCCGACGAGCAAGTTAGAGAGAGAGAGAAAAGTGAAATGTAGAGATATGAGTTAGAAATGGAGAGATTAACCTTCTTCTTGTCTTCAACGTCTGCTTATATCATTTGGTAATCATTTCGTTGTCTCGTCCGACCTGTCACCTTGGCCAAAAGTTTATGCTGTAGCTTACCTTGTTCAAGGTGAGGGCGTGTTGTCCCGACGGAGAGGTGTTGTCATAATAAATGCTGTGAGGGGCTGCATTAATGGTGATGTGCAGTGGCAATAACTTTGCAGATCTTTGTCTGCTGAGGTGGCTTGTCCTTTACCTACCACGTGTCTGAATATCATTGGTTCTTCATGTCATGTTGACTTCCAGCTGTGCTGGGCCTTATCAGTTGGGTTATGTATTGGGCCCTAAGTGGTAGGCTTGGGCTGTTCATAGTGGGTTATGGCCTTTGTGGTCCTACCCACGTCAGTAGTCCCCCATTCCAAAGTGCAGCTTTAGTCCAACGAAGGGAATGATGAGGAAGATAGGGGTTGAAGGTCGAGTGGAAGGAACGACCGATCAGAAGTGGCCGAGCGGAGGGACCCGCCGTGAGGAGGGCCGACCGCGAAGGGTAACCGAGTGGGGGGACCGACCATAAGGAGGGCCGACCGTGAAGGGTAGTCGAGTGGAGGGACCGACCATGAGGAGGGCTGACCGCGAAGGGTAACCGCGTGGAGGGACCGACCATGAGGAGGGCCGACCGCGAAGTGTAGGGCGACAGGGCGCGGGGCTCGAGAGGCGGCGGGTCACGTGACGATTGGAATTGGGAAGGGAGGCAGTGAATCGTGGTCGTACATGTGGCAGCATCTGGTGGGAGGAGGTCAGGCGTTGGGCCAAGAGTGAAACGATAGGTCATTATAGGGTGTTGAAAAGACAGTGTTGGCGATTTTTTGAAAATTTTTTAAACTGGCGAAATTTAATAGGGACCCTTGGACTAAGGAAAACCTTGGGCCTTTGGGATTACTCGCTTTACCTATCTCTTCGCAAAACATCAAAACATTCCCAGCGTAAACTCCTTCGTTGCCAACGATACACCCCTGCGACACTTTTGGAATTTTCTTACGCCCGCATCCGAAGTTATTCGAAGACATACAATAAGGATGGTACAAGAGGAAGCAACCACCACAAGGGTTGATCCCCTAGGGGATGATGACGCGATGGACCTGGCAGAATAATATACGAGGGAGAGGCAAGTGGAGAAATCAGGAGAGCCGGCGGGTTTAGCTCATCCGTTGACGATGATAGCGGCTCCGAAACTAATCAGCCAGGCTGAGCCAGATCACTGGCATACGAAGGCTGACAAGTCAACCGTTACAGCGGAGGAGTTGGAGGGTATACGAAAAAAATACCATGTGCCTAAAGAAATAGAGTTGATGTTACTGACAGCAACGGAGAGGCCTTCCGACGCCCGGCCGAGAAAGTTTGCCCTATACGAAGAGGTGTTGAAGGGAGGGTTGAGGTTGCCGCTTCCACAAGTGGTAGTGGATGTCCTCAACCGACTGGAAGTCGCGCTAGGCCAATTAATGCCCAACGCATGGAAGATTGTACTGGCCTGTGCAAGTGCGTGGCCGAAGGCGAACGAAGGAGCGGCCATGACGGTGGACGAGTTTTTTGCCTGCTATAAGGCCTCGGGCCAGCAAGAAACTTGGGTCACTTTGCAGGCGGCGGCAGGAAGGGGTTTGGTGGCGGGGGTTGCCGTCATCAATTGAAGGATGGAGGCTGTGGTGGTTTTACATATCTGCGAACGGCGGAGTTGGAGTACGCACGGTGTGGAGGGTACCCACCAAGTCTATGGAGCCAAAGTTGGGGGCTGCAGCGGAGGAAAGGGTGAAAAAGGTGAAGGCATGAAGGGAGAAGGAGGGGGTCAGATGGGATGACCTCGTTCAGCCATCAGCTTTGTTTGCCGCAGGATTGGGCCCTTAGCCGACCGGTGGGGATCTGGCACGGACAGAGCTTGAGGCGAAGAGGAAAGCGCAAGAGGCGGAGGATCGGGCCATTTTTGCCGAAGCCAATAAGTTCAAGGAAGTGCAGTTAGGCCTGCCACCAAAACCGGTCGCGAGGGAAAGAATCTGACCGCGTCCCAAGCCGCTAGGAGGAAAGACTTGGGCAGTTTCGAGCCACGACCGCCCCCTTTGATCCAGTGAAGGAAAGGGCAAACAAGGAGGGGGAGGTCTTGAAGAAGAAGAAGAAGAAGAAGAAGAGAAGAGTTGCCCCTGAGGGGGTCTTAGATGCGCTTGGGTCGAAGAGGGCGAGGGTGGGCGGTGAGGGCACTCCGATGGTGGAGGAAATAGGGGAGAAAGGGGTAGAGGCTACTCCAGAAGCGGTCGTGGTCCCAGAGGCGCAGGGGGAGAAGAGCCAAAGTGTCTTAGAGGAAGAAGGCATGCGAGCGCCCTGGCCTCCAAGGTGCAACTAGAAAGTGGGTCGG